GAGAGAGAGAGAGAGAGAGAGAGAGAGAGAGAGAGAGAGAGAGAGAGAGAGAGAGAGAGAGAGAGAGTATCACAGTGTCAAAACTTCATACATTTCTGTGTTCATTCTCATTTGTGATGGAAAACTCACTTCTTCAATCACGTGCGCTCCCCCTGCGTTTACTTGTTTTCTTAAATAGAAGCTCCATCTATTGGTGGGGAGCATCACCTGCTGGAAAACGGGTCCAGCGACCCTTATACAGAATGATTCAGGAAAGTGTCAGGGAAGATAACTGAGAAAAATCTGCCAGCATTGCTTACTCCAGCATAGGACCTGCTTCCATCACCTCTGAAATTCTGTATCTAACATAAGAAGAAACGGAGGTGACTTTGCAATGCAAATTCACCTAGTGCCTGGGGAAAAAAAGAAAAAAGAAAAAGGAAGAAGAAATGGAAGGTGACTCTTGGGAAAATAAGATGCCAGATTCAGCTAATGAGAGATTAAAGAAAGCTGTAGCTCAAATTATAGAAGGTCATGCTACACCAGCAAAACCAGGCCTCACCATCCATGAACAACTCCTAGTAGCCTACCTTATACTAAACACAACATCCCAGAGACCAAAACCAGCAATGGCTATCGTGATTTTGCCACCAAGACGATCCCCCAGCCCCTTAGGTCGCCACCAAGACGATCCCTGGCCCCTTAGGTCGCTACCACGATAATCCCCGGCCCCTTAGGTCGCCACCAAGATGATACCCGGCCCCTTCGGTCGCCACCAAGACGATACCCGGCCCCGTCGGTCGCCACCGAGACGATACCCAGCCCCTTAGGTTGTCATGGTCCTATTCATTCTGATTCGCCTGGGGTCGATCATGTTCTATGCATAGGATGGCCATCATCGAAGTTGATTGAACTGACCGGCCTAAGGTAATTCAGAATCCTTCGGATGCATAGGATGGTTAAAGTCCAGGGGTTTACCGACTGAGCTCGTTGGTAAACTGCAGTCTGTCATTGTTTACCAAATTGAATGAGCTTGGTTGGTACACCCATTAACTTTCAAAAAAAAATTCATCCAAAGGAAGAAAAAAAAACACAATCATGATCCAATCAGGGGATATTCACGGCCGAATAGTCCAAAATGTTCCACTGTGCAAGAGTGTACTGAGTCACTCAGACTGTTTGGGGGTGGGGGTTGGGGAGGCGGCGGGGGCTGTTTGATGGCATATGTCACCCACGAAAGACCGGTTCTTAACCGGATTTGTGGTGTACAGGGTCCATCATGGGCACTGTTGAACAATCTTAAGCTAAAAAAAACAAACGAAAAAAAAAAAAAAACAAGAACGGCCCCTCTAGCGTAACAAGTGATGCCGTATTTGTATGAGTACGAGAAACCCGTACTACGGGGGGCCGTACGAGTCGCTACACTGGCCTTTGCAAGACACTGGCGCGTGAAGCTTACAATGTACTTTATATTGGTTACCCTACCCCTACCCTTCTATAGGGTATCAGAAAGCCGTAACCTTTATTCAGATGTCTAATCTGTACCTCAGGTCTGTCAGTGTGGGCTTATGCGCGCTACGGACACGTAGTGTACAGACCACTCCTTGTACAGACATGTGTAGTTTAGAGCCCCTTTTCTTTTTTTCCTTCTTCTTTTTTTCTAATGTGCAACCCCTGTAATACTATATAGCCTGCTGACTAACTGGTGGTCTGTGGCTCTGCAGCTGTGGATGGTCTTCCCTTCCTTCGTCTTAGCTGGCTCACCAACTCTTCCGGATCCACTCTGTTGACATCCTTACGAGCCCCAGGATCAGACGCATAACGGTCCATGAGGTACAATGCGAAGCCTTTACAAACCCCTAGGGTAAGGGCCACCGGTATTGAGAATCCGGAAGTCAAAATGCTGCTGGTGCCTTGGTCCAAGGCCTTTGCTGTGGTAGCCGCATAACTCGCCTGCCCGCTAATACCCACCCCTGAGCTCGCCTGCAAGCCAGTTTTGCAATAGATAGCAAAATCTTCGCAGTTGCGGTTCATCAGATTGTAATCCCCAAATCCATGTTCCAAAAGATACCTCGCTCGTTGCACGACTTCCTCAGGACTATCTGTGGCAGCCATGGTGCACGTGCCCCCTCTCACATTCGCTAAGAAAAACGCCGGGTTGACCCCATACTGGCATCTATACAAGTTTCCACCTTTTAGAAAGCAAGACAAACACGTCTTGATTACGCTGTTCCCTTCCTTGATTCCTGAGCTGAAAGCTTCCCTGCAGGCTGGGCATTCCTCATACTCTGCCACAGGCTGAGCTGCCATTGCACTTCCAGATATCCCTGAAAAGGGAGAAGACCACGAGCTGCCGAATGCCGCCTCCTCATCCCCATTGGTAAAATGGATTACTTGCCCATCTCCAACAAAAATCCCATGATGAGCATATGTATATCCCTTCCTCCATGAGTAGATATGATCGCCAGCAATCAGATCAGTCTCTGCTATGCGATTGGACAATAAATTTGCCATGATCCCACCTTATCAACCACCTCCACCTCCACCTCCACCTCCACCTCCACCTCCTCCTCCTCCTTCCTCTCCTTCTTCAACAAATTGAATCTGTTGTTGCGATGAGCTTGCTGTACAATGCTGCCAGTCCCTGCCAGCCCTTGCGCTCGCAGACTCTACAGCACAATTAATACGGACAACAATCTTTTTAGTGAAAACAAATTGGCCTCAGTATGAGTGGGAAGAGAAAGAGCTGATTATAGAGACAATGGTTCTATGATCTGTCTGTATGTTTCATGGCCTTGATGCGATAATGAGCTTTCCTCTTACCTCTCAACAAAAAAAATAAAAAATACAAAGCGAAAACAAATGGGCCAACATTCAGTGCCGTGGGTCGATCCCTGTGATCATCCCCTTTTTGCGTTTTTTCTCATGGCCAAGTCAATCTGTTTAGTCTAGCAGTCAAGCATGAAAGCACAGTTTCATTTGTAAGAAAAACAAAGATTCTGAAATAAAAAGGGGAAAAAACAAGCACCGCTAAGGTGGGGATCGATCATAAAGGAGGCTAGCTTAGCGCCCGCGGTGCGGGCTACGCCCGCATAAAAAACTACGGTAAAGATCAGCCAAATGGCCCTTATGGGCTGGGCTACACAAGTGCTAGGATGGCAATGACAATAGGAAGCAAGGTTTTAAGGCGAAGCGAATCTTGAAACATTGCCTCAGTTTGGATTGTTCTCTTCAACTCGAGAACATGAAGTTGGAATTGCTAGTAATAGCGGATCAGCATGCTGCGAAAAGACGAAACCAAAAGACAAAAACGAATGACGTTGAAACCAAAAAGAGAAAAACAACAACGAAACAAAAAAGAGAAAAACAACTTCGCGTGCACAAAAAGACAGAAACGGACAACGAAACCTGCCCGGCCGCCCCTCCTCGAAGCCTATCCAATGGCGGCTGCTGCGGGATAATCCTCGCCATCCATGACCGTTGTCTACTCAGCCCTGCCCCTGCAGGTTAATGCGCCTCCCTTCTTTCCCAGTTTACAATGAACAATTGGGTGGACAGCAGCCTCTTGACAGCAGCCACTGCGGGATAGTCCTCATCATCCACGACCATCATCCACGACCATCATCCACCCAGCCCTACCCCTGCAGGTCTATGCACCTCCCTCTTTTCCCGGCGCACAATGGACAATTGGGTGGAGAGCGGGGTCTGCGTTCATCCCCACCGCCCCCACTCTCCATCCGACCGTTCTCCTAGAACTTGGCGCCCTTCTATGGGCGCGCAGCGGACCGTCTCCCCTTTTTTCCCSCAGATGCCTCATAAACCACGAGTGCTTGGCCCATACATGGGCCGCGGGCTACCCGGTTAACGCACCGCAGCTGTTGGTGGTCGAGAAAGTCCAACACACCCGATCGCTCCTGAATGCACAAAAATTCATATGTGAGGTAAAAAACAATTATATGGCTGTCCCCCAATGAGGAGAAGGCAGCTTTCAAAGAAAGAAAAAAAAAAAAAACTGACAGAAAAAGTAAAATCTTCCGACTTTTCGGGAAAAACAAAAAGGCCACAGACAGAGAGAGAGAGAGAGAGAGAGAGAGAGAGAGAGAGAGAGAGAGAGAGAGAGAGAGAGAGAGAGAGA